CAAGTGTGTGTGTGTGGCTTGGGCATCCTTTTTCTTTCATCGTCAGAATGCGTTTTTTGGGGGGTAACACGATCCCTCTCCAGTGGTACATTTTCTTAGCTCAAAAGACTGAAGCCGTGTGTAGCTGAGAAGCATTAATGTCTTATTGACAGCTCGGGATTAGAGCTGAAGCCAGAAGTGTCTGCCGAGCGACTCGCTCTTTTGTGTGTTTGAAAAGGGATTATAAAGCGATTTGTTTGTTGAAAATTATGAATCTGGGAACACAGTCGGTCTGTCAGTCAGTCAGTCAGTCAGTCAGTCGGGAAGCAGCAGCTCCCACACGCTGTGTGTGGCTCAAAGAGTGGAGAGTTGGGGACTTTTCCCATCAGCTGATGGCAGCTCAAATCTCTTGGCTTTTGTCTGCTGCAAGGGGCAAGGGACTTCGTTTGTAGTTTTATCAATTTTGACATAAGCCAAGACAGGCATTAACTAGTTGGGTTTCTCAGAGGCTTAAGCGATGCATTTGGTTGAATGAATTTAACTTGAAATGTTCCTCAAAATAATAGCTAAATTTACTTATCTTAAAGATGCAAATAGGGGAGAGAGAGAGAGAGTCATAAAAAGTGTCTCAGCCCATCGTTAGACAGTCAAACTGTCCCCCAGAGACAAGTCTCTCATTGGTCTCTGTTTTTGTTTAATCTTAAGTACAGGTTTTATTTTATCTTGGCAACATTTCAGCTTCTCAACAATGGTCAGAGTTTAACCAATATCTCTTCCCCCTGATCTGTGATCTAATCTCACAGCTGACATTCCCCCTTGGGCTTCATTAGGTACATTTTGAAATTCCAACAATACTCGTAACGATTTCCACATTTCAAAGATTTCAATTTGAATTTGAATTGGCAATAAAACTTCAAGTTTATCAGCTGCCGATGGGTCGGAATAGCTGGATGGATGCGGCGTATTCTGCTGCGGTTGTCCAGTTTCCAGTTTTCCCTCTTCCTTAGGCTGCAACTCGTTATACAACTCTATTAGTTTTCATTTCGTTCAGTTCGCGCATACAAATCAACTAATTTCAAATCCAAAACCAAAATCTCTCTCTTCCTCTCGCTGCACTCGAAATATTCGGGAATTCGTTGTGTCTGTTTTTTGTTGGTGGCGTCCTCATAATTTATGTAAATCCAACAAAAGTTGTCAATTTCCAGCTCTGCTTGTGGAGGGGAAACCTAAATTTGAATAAAATTTCAATTCTCATGCATTCTCTTGTCGGGGAATTGTCTGCTGCCCGGCCTGGGCTGGCCTGCCTTTTGCTTTCATTTCCATCAATTCGTTAAGTGTCTCTGTGTCCAAATCATATTATTGTTGAGTATTTTAGCAAGGAAACTCAATTACCTACCACACTTGGACCAAGCCACAGTGTCCAGAGAGAATGTTTCTTTTTCTTATTAGTGCCAAAGTTGTCCCTTTGCCAGGCACTAAAAAGAAATGCCAGACACGTACCATGCATGTCCATGGCTTCAAGGACTACCTTAAGGCTTAAACCTGTCCTCCAATCTTCTGACCTTTTGCTCTACTTTTTTTGAGCCTTAAAATATAATTTTCCACTTCTTAGCTGTGGATTTGGTTCGTATTTCATTGAATAATTCCTCAGCGTATAATAAACGGAAATTAAATACTTGTTTTCTGTTTTAGCTTTCCGAATTGAAATGAAAATTCAAATAAATTCTAGCGGGGACTACGGGCAGTCCCCACAGCGAGTGAAATATTTAGGTAATTAAGCCAAAGCGGCGGGGAATTTCTGCGTTAATTTGAGTGCATAAACCTTTCATTGTACACATTTTTGGCAATTCTCTGCCCGACGCCCGACGCCCGACTGTGTCTATGTTTCGACTGTGGCTGCCATCCATTTCCCTGCTCGTGCTGCTCCGCCCCTTGCCACAAACTCGTACAATATTAATTTCTATACGCTCATATTTGATGGCAAATAAAAGTGCACGAGGAATATAAATGAAAATAATGTTCAAACATTTCGCACTAATTAAAAATCAGCTGGGATGAGTTCTGTGCCCTCTCCCCTTCTGCACTGAGGGGGAAACACAGATCCATGCGGGGGTTGTGTGTGCGGAAATATAAATATTGAATCGATGCTGCTGCAAGTGGGGTGTGGGCAGCGGGGGGGACACGTGTAATTGCTTTTCCCTCAGCGATGTGCGAATATGCGAATATCGATTGTTGTCGATTTGCCCAGTTATTGATGCAGCAGAGGCAACGCTTGTTGTTTAACAGTTGAGAGTACCCTGCAAAGGAGGAGTGAAGGAAGGCAGGATATGGTCGAGAAACCCATGTAACAACCACAATTTTGCAGTTATCAGAACTCCGCTTTAGTTAGATTATTTCTATGAATATTATCCACATAAATAACCAATTTCAGAGCAATCCTATCACTTTAATTATCAGAATTATAACTATCCCTAAAGCAATTCTCTTCGTTAGTTGCCTCCCCAGTACAGAGTATCTTTAAAGTCTTTCATTTCCATTCGTGGCACTCTTATTTTTGTTTTACCGTTTCGTTTTGTTTGATTTTGCTTATTTGCTGGCTGGTTTCGATGGGCGTGTCATGGCGCGTGGGCGTGTGTGGGGCCAGCCCCACCTCCACTTCCACATACAGATGGCTAACAGTGGAAGCCGCCAGCTGGCACGTTTTCCACGCAAAAAAAATACAGCCAACGATTGAAACTGAAGACGCGTTTTGTGTGGCGTATTTTTATTTCGGACATTCAATTGAGAGAGCGCGCACGGAGGCGTCCCACGCACTTGGCAGCAGGCAGCAGGCAGCTGGCTGTGTGGCAGCAGCCTGGCGCAGGCCTGACAGCTGTCGCAACATTGCCAAAGACTCAACTTGGACTCCAACGCCGAAGACGAAGGCGAAGCCGACTCTGCCACGACTTCACCTCCACCTTCAAAATTTCTCCACAGCTGCAACCCGATGAGCAGTCATCAAAGGCAAATCAAACAGCGGCAAAAGCAGGCGGGTTGGGAGGGAAGCCAAAGCTCACGTGACTTTACAATTTATTTCAAGCATGCAGCAAAAATAAATTTATTAATAGCCCCTTGAACGACTCCAAAGAAGAGGAATTACTGCCACCCACACAGCCCGTCGTTGTGCGGTATCTTTCCGCTCCGTGCCGAGAGAGGGGAAAACGGGATACCACAATCCCCACCCAATCCGCAATCCTCAATGCGGCACTCATCCAGCGCTCAGCTCTTGGAGGGGAGCTCTTGTGTTCGTTCATTCATTCACTCACTCAGTCATTCATTCAAGAAGAAAGAGATTCGCAGAGTCGGGAGTCGCATTCGCAATTTTCAGCTTTTTGCGTGAGTTCTTTTGGGTTTTTCGTTTGCCTCAATTTATGCGCCTCACGTTTTCCCATTTTCAAGAATGACTAAATATCGTTTACACCCAAACGAACTCTTTGCCTCTCTATCTCTCTCTGCCACTTGCTTTTCCCTGCCATAAATGTATCTTCTTTGGGCTGCAGTTCTGCGTATGACGTGCCTTCAGTCTTAACCAAAGTTTAATTAAACTTTTTCACTTTGAACAAGAGCGGGGGAAAGGGGAAGGCAAACATGTACAAACTTTAATATTTATATGCAATTGTTTGCCTGCTTTTGTTTGCCTGGGGGGGGAGGGGAGAGCAGGCTGCCACGTGGCAAGTGCCAAAAGGTAATGGGCCAACATTTTTCTTGCTTGCTTCTTGCTTCTGCTGCAGTTGCAGTTTTTCATCTGCTGAAATTTTTTGGCGGCTGCTGCAGCTAATGCCAGAAACGTGTCGGCCGCTTATGGGTTGGTAACGATAGCGCATTGAATGCGCCAGAATGGATGGGCAAAGAGGATGGCAAAGCAGGAGCATAGAGGCTCGGCTGGCAGTTGATAGTCAGCCACCGACAGAAGCTGCCACCAGCAGGAAAACTTTGTGAAAGGAATCGAAGTTTTGCTTGGGCGGAGGTTGCAGTTAACCTGGTAAAAAGTTTTTTCCCAACCTGCCACCCAAGCAGCAGCGCCAGGCATTTCACCTGCCAATTGGTGGAGTCTCCCTGGAGTCTCCCTGGAGTCTCCCTGCAGCTCTTGGCGTTTGCAAATTAGTGTTAATTTATCATGATTATTGCCTCACAATGTTATTCCGCAAATTGAGTTTGTTCGAATCTCGTAGATACAATTACACGGTGGGCACTGAGGGGGGGGTTGGGTTTGGGTTTCTTTTAATAATGCCAATTGGTAGATACTCGTCCTCCTGCTCCTGCTCCTCCTTTACTCAGAGTACACAACTGTAACTAATGCTGACTTCTAGACTGATATCAAACTGTCAAGCTGTCAATTCTCGTTAGCATTGCCTGCCATGTGTGATATGTCCTCCCATCATGGAGTGTATTTCATCCTCCCATCTCTCTGGCTCTCTGTCTCTGTGTGTGTGTGGAGTTGCTACTTCAGTAAAAGTATCTGGCAGATAGCGTTGCCAATGCTGCTCAAAAATTCAATTTCCAGCTGAAAAGATACACAGCAGCAGCAGCAGTCAGCCAGCCATGGGTCTGAGGGGGGGAGTTTGACTGCCAGGAAAGATACAAATTGGAAATAGGTAGAAAAAAGTCATTGAAAAACGATTGCTGACATGAGACGAGACTCTAGCTCCATCCCTCTCTGGCAGCATGTGTAGGAAACGTAGTCTTGGGGCCAGGATTATCACGAGAAATGGAAGAGTCGGCTTAGCGAAAGAGACAGAGCATAGACAGAGAGCGGGACAGCGCGTACAGGGGAGTCACGGAGTAATAGAATTATTCGGCTACACAGCCAAAGCATTCCATCTCTCTTTATCTCTCTCCCTCTCTCTCTCTGTCTCTTTGTGTTTGCTGCATATGAAAAATGTGAAAGCTTCGGGGGGTACAGAATTAAGACTTTAATTGGCCAAAGCCCAAGACTAACTTTTGCTCTCTTTTTCTCTCTTTTCTGTTTGATTTTTTTCCAGCTATTGGTTGACCCGTGTGTAGAAGTCGAAGAGAAAATCCATTCCGTTCATCATGCGCTAAGCGGAGCTACGACAAGACAACGACGCTAACTAGAGAGAGAGAGAGAGAGAGAGAGAGAGAGAGACGAGCAGGAAGTCAAAGGACACAGCAGGAACGCCCCTCCAACCCGCACGGAAAGATGCCATCCATAGCCAACAGCAGCAACGGGAGCAGCAGCAACTTCCTGACTGTCAACGATGCGCGTCTCAGTTACGTTGTAAATCAAGTTGCATCCTCAACCGCATCCGCCTCCGGATCTGGCAGTGCCACTGCCTTTCCCACATTCAGTCCACCGCGGATTGAGAGCTTGGTGGCCAGCTCCGCGGAGCAGGATCTGAGCAGCTTTGGTGATGTGACATTCGACATCTTCGACGACGATGACGATTTGTTTGGCTCACCCATGGCCTTCGATGCCACCGAGCAGGGACTGTGGAATGGTCGCTTTGTGCCACCGCCGCCGCGGCCACCCTTCTTCGTCGATGAGCCCGTGCTGAGCGATGGCCTGACCACATGTGATTTATGCTCCTGGGCCATGCCCACAAAGAACACATTCATGTTCGAGGGTACGATAGGTGAGTAAAGTAACCCACAAACAGATACTATAACTTCTGCTTCTCCTCCTGCTCCCCCTATTGTATTCCCGTTACTAACTGTTGGTTCTTCCCTTTCCACCCTCTTTTTGTGTTTTTTTTTTTTTTATGTTGCAGAAAAAGCCACCGAACTGGGCTGGCCGCTGACGTTGATCATTGTGTCGATGCTGTCGGCGCTGCTAGGCGCCATCATCATGATTGCTGTGGTGCGATGTCGGCGCAAAAAGTCCTCCAACAATCGAAATGGTGAGTGGAACCCCAACCCCAACCCCAACCCCAACCCCCCTTCTACCTGTGTGTCTGTGTTGACTCTCACAACATTTACCGACTGTGTTTTCGCATCTGTGTCTCACAATTTCCAACTCTTTTTCTCCCTCTCACTCTCTGCTCCTCCATCTTGCAGACACGCACGTGCAGTGGTGGTCCCGGAATAAGCGCGCCCACGGCAATGGCCTCAATGGTGCGGGCGGTGGGAGTGGCGCGGGTGCCAGTGCCGGCAGCAGTGCCCATCTCCACCATCATCCCCACAATGGGAGCAACAACAACATCAGCAACAACAACAATCATCTGAGGAGAAGCAACATCTATACGGCACACCCGGCGGACAGCATACGTTGCCCGTTGCCACTGCCACCATCCACATCATCGCCCACGCTGGGGGGCACAGTCATGGCCATGACCATGTCCCCATCATCATCATCCACAGCAGCAGCAGCAGCGGCAGCGGCAGCAGGAGCGAATGGTGTAGCAGCCACCGCGCCGCCGGGACAACACTACTTCCATCCATATCACCAGCAGCATCATCCACATGCACATGCACAGCATTCCCAGCATCCACAGCATCTCCATCATCAGCTTCAACTGCAGCATCAGCATCAGCTTCATTCGCATGCACATCATCCGCATCATCAGCAGCAGCAGCAGTCGCAGTCGCAGTCACAGTCGCAGCAGCAGCCGTCGCACCATCATCAGCATGTGCCGCTCTACCCGCATGACTGTGACGAGGATGCCGCCTACGAGGAGCCCGAATATCATCAGCCCCAGCAGCTGCATTCGGCCCACAGCTGCTCCTCCATTTCGTCGGCCTCGCTCTCGGTTTCGGCCCCCTCCTCGCCCGTGCCCACAGAGGCTTCCTCCTCCGCCCGACTGGCAGCAGCAGCAGCCATTGCCGCTTGCCAATGGCCGCAGGCATCGGCCAGCACGATGGTGATTGCCAGCTGAGAGTCGGTTGAAGGCTGCTCCTGGACGGTGCAGCCTCAGGAGCCACCACGAGCGGGCAACGGCAACGCCAACGCCAGCGCCAGCACCAGCAACTGGATCTGGCAGTGACATGTTGTGCAACATTTTAGCTGTGGTAGCTGCCCCGCGGGACTCTGCTGCTTAAGATGTAGCGCACATATTCTGGTGAAGATCATAAAAAGGATTACACGTAACAATTTTGTCAAGTCCATAAGCATCTAAAGGATACACTCCCCACGATACACACACAGTGTATCTGTGTCCCTGTGCGTGTGTGTGTCTCTCCCAATTGGGGAAAAACCGAAACGAATTTAGTGTCACTTCCGTTTCCGTTTTGCAAACTATCGAACCAGACAGGCAGGCAGGCAGGCAGGCAACCAGCAGATAGAAGGCAGACATTTTGGGTTTGTGGCATGGCACCAGCAGCGGCATGGAGGAGCAGGGCTGCCAGGATGCTCTCTTTACATGCCATGCACGTTTTATCCTTTATTGCCGTTCGGCATTAGAACAGGGATTTTGTCAGATTAAAGCAAATAAAGGGCGTGGCATGGTGTGGCGTGTGCTTTCTGTTTGCACCCAACATTCTTCTCGCATTCGAACTGCCAACTGCCGGGCGAGCGTCGATGATGCCACAAGTTTAAATCGTTGTGCATGCCCTGTAAATGATGGGCTAGAGTATGCCACACCAGCAGACGCTTAAATTGCAACTGCAAATTCGATATAGAATGCCAGCTTAAAGGGTAAACCGTCAGTCGAGTTACTCAAATGCTCAAATGTACAATTTCCTAACTTGTTTTTTTTTTTTTTTTGGGAACATTTTTCGGCTTAAGCTGTTTTGTGCATGTGTGTGACAGAGTCTATCGATGTGAATGGTTTTTATGTGTGTGTGAGTGAGTGTTTTGTGGTGTAGCCTCTCGGGAGGGGATCTATCTGCTGGTTCGGACAGGATATATGCCAGGTCCCAGCCCTGCCCTGCCCTGCCGTGCCCACCACACAACTTTGTGGCTTTTCACTTCATTCCAATTGACAAGAGCAAATAGATTCCACTACTAACAAGAAACTGTCTAAGAAACGACGAACCATTAAAAACAGTGTAAATATCGTAAAAGCAAATGAAAAAGCAGAGAAAACTTCGAGCAAGTCCAGCCGAAAGCTATTAAAAAAAAGATAAAATAAAACTAAAGTAACCACAAAATTTCGCATTTAGTAGGCATTTGCATTTGCATTTTAAAATAGTCAATAATTAATTCATGACAAGGCATATCACAAATTTAAACACAAACTTAAATGAATACAACAAAAAAAAAAACAAAACTCCGCAAAAAACGTACTTAAAACAATCAACCGAACTAAACTAACAACTTAAACTAAACGCAAGAAAAAACAACAAACAATACACTATTGTAAATACAATTTATTTGCTCCAATTAGCAATTAACTATGGGAGCATTCAGCAGAAACTTTCAACAACTAAATATTGCATTAATTTCCAAAACAAAGCATTCCTCTCTCTCTCACTCACTCTTCCTCTCTCACTCTTGAGAGGCGAAACGCAAAACGAAAAGTTCAAGTTTTTATTTACAAAACATTTATTAATTTACCAACTTAACAAGTAACAACAACAAAATGAGCATAAACCAACCAAAGACTAGTCATTTAAGTCAAAATGTTGCTATGTACAAAAGAAAAATATAAATATAAATATAAATATGGGCCGCGTATGATTAAGTGAGTTAATTAATTCAATTTATGGAATGCATTCCATTTGGAACGGGGCGGGGCATTTATTAGTTTTACGAAATGAAAGAACAACTGCAATATTGTATTTTAAATATTTATTCATTAAATGTGCACACATGCTCCTCCTTCTCCCTCCTACTACACCCCTTCTGCCAGCCCACTCCTTCTTCCCTGCCACAAATAACAATAATCGTAATTAGCATTTATAATGGGAATTAAAAAAAAGAAACTCAAAACAAATACACAAATGAATAATAATGAAAGCGAAGCAGAGAAGAGCGGACAAAATATACTACTACGAGCAACTCAAAATGTTCCAAAATGTTTAGAATAGAGAGCCAACTAATTATGCGGACAAAGCAAATATTGTACATCCACAAATCCAATAGTTTTCGCTAACAAAAAATTCATTAAATTGTGCAGAAATAATTTAGGCACACAAAAACAAAACAAGAATCGAGAATGAAAATAAAAATAAAAACTAAAAACATACAAAAAAAATATAAATACAATCATAAATTCATTGTTTTCATTTACAACGGAAGCATAAATCAGAAATGAAAAATAAATCATTTTTGAATGATTAGCGAAACATTTTCCAGCAGAAAGAAAATCGAACGATTTATTAATTGCATTATTCCAAGGTGCACAGGTGTCATAAATTGTTGAATTTGTACAACTAATCCAATGTGTTCAACAAGAGAGTAAGTATGCCAAAGCACTGATGGAGGATCTGAAAGGACATTGATAGTCAGGGAGATGAATACACGCGCTTCTCCTTCACTCACATTTGGAACCAACATTCGAATCGTAAGCCTCATAGGCACTTGTCGCCACTTTCTCCGATTCCTGCGACATTAAATCGCCGAATTTTGACCACAGTGAGAGATGGCCCAGGACCATAAACTCGGCTGCCACCTTGGGATCATGTCTGGCCATCTAAGCCTCAAAAACAGAGACGGAAACGAGCATAAAGTTGACTGTCATTGGCATGATGATTGCAGCGATCCACGGTGCTGAAATTGAATGCTGTAAATGCTTTAAGGGCTGTCCCTCTTCATCTGCAATCATGTAGAGCCCCAATACTCTGTAAATGTTATTAGGGAACATTTTGAATATATTTTAATGTTGTACCCCGGTTATACTTCATCTGATCCCGACTGTAGTATGCTACTGTGTGTTTGTTGACCATTTCCGGATTATTTAGCAGAGTTCGAGCCTCGAAAAACATATCGACGAAACGAAGCCAAAGGCCTTTTAGGCCCAAATCGTTAGTGCGCTCTCTGTCTACTTTGAACATGTTGATTGAACCGATTGAAGGGATACTGAATGTGACAGAGCTGTGGCCTTAGCTAGTTTGTGGGGTTATCTTTTATATGATTTATTATTCTTATATTATGAGTGCAGAACTTTTGATGCACTCTCAATGGGTATTAGGCTTTCTTTTGCTTGATAGTTTCTTCATGATCGATCGATGGATCAATACGTTTTTGTAAAAAAAGGAAGGATATTTAATACATTTTTATAATTTATATTTGGATATTTAAAGAATTTATTTCATATGAAAATACAGCTAAAAATTTGTCGATGCTTCTGTAAGAGTATCCTAGAGTGTCTGCGCTTATTCCTTTCCTTTGCATAATTGAGGGGCGAGAATTTTACAGCTGCTTACCAACGCCTGTGAGTCCCTTTACTCACTTTAATCCCCTAGTAATTGTTTCAGCAAGTAAATTCTCTAATAGAAATGCTAACCACTTAAAATGCCAACAATTGCCACAATGCAATTTATCTGCTTCCCCTCTCTAACCCCTTTGAACCCGCCCTCACTACCCAATCGATGCAATCGAACATTTATAATCCGCTGCAATATATATACAAATGAAAACCGATTTAATTTCATTTTCATAAGAGAGCTGCACCAAAAAGTGAAAGTCCTAAGGCGGAGCACTGACAGCAGCATTCGCATTGTTAAAAAAATAATCAGAAAAAAATGCATCAGGCACGGGCACTGGAACTGAAGGAGAGGCTAAAATATTTAGGTTGTTCGGTCAAGAAAGAAGTAAGGAATATTTATGCCATTTATGACACGAAAGGCCCTCCGAACGTGCCCCAGAGATTGCAGCATTTTTGCATATTTGCGGCACGAAGCGACGAAGCGGACGAAGCGAAACGAAATGAAATGCAGCAAAAATCCACTCGAAGGAGATAAAGCCAAGGGGGGTGGACTGGGATTGGGATTACGGGGCAACGCTGAGCAGAGCAGCCTCGTCGCAGATTGGGGCACCTCTCAAGAGACGGTCCGTCCGTCCGCCCGTTCGTCTGCTCCAATCGAAAGCGAAAGATTTCATGCCCGATATGAACATATGGTCATATGGATCGTCGTCGGAGGACAGGACAGGACTCGTAATGCTTTGGCTGCTGCTGCTGCTCCTCCGTTGTGGCTTGCCGTCGCTCTGTCTGTGGTCTGTGGGTGGCAGCGGGCGAAGGTCCATTTGCATATTGGAACGATTGAAATGCCCAGACGGACAGAGACCAACAGACAATTGTGTGGTGTGTGTGTGTCTGTAGCAAACGAAAAGATCTCCCGCGTCTGACAAACATTGAGATCCATGGGGCTTTCCTTGGAGGTAGCGAAAATGTCATGCGGTTTTATGACTTCATTAGCGACAGCCAAGAGCCAACAGAGGAATTTAATGGACCCTCCAAAAAGGCAGTCGGCGAGGGCAGGCTTCCTCCTCCTGCTGCTGCTGCTGCTGCTGCTGCTGCTCCTGGCCCGATTTTTATGTGCTCCGCGGTTGACAAACAAATTTGAGGGACATTTTCGTGTCTGCTCGGTTGCTCTCTTGATGAGAAGGAAATGAAAGTTAGCCACGGGAATGGCGGTGTAAAGGCAGGGAAAACTAATCAGACAAGAGCCTGGTGACACAGCCAACAATCTGGACCGCATGTCACGAGCTGCCAGTGGAACAACTACAGCATCATCAGCCGATGGAGGTTGATGATGATGATGATGTGCATATGAGGTTGCCTAATAATGAAGTCGTGCATGGCATTTGTCCTCAACGGTTCGATGATTAAGAGCCTGCCCGTTGCCTTGGCTTTTGCCTGAATGTCTGACACCTTTTCGCTGTTCACTGGAATTGGCGCATGTCAGCAAATTGGTAGCCAAAAGAGCTGCTGCTGCTGCTGCTGCTGCTGCTGCTGCTGCTGCTGCTGCTGCTGCTGCTGCTGCAGTGGTGGTTTCTGGCCTTCTGGCTAACTGGGTCGTTGATCGCACGTCACACGATTTATTCCCCTGGCACTGCAGGAATCAGTGCAAGAAGAAGCTGAAGAAAGATGTCATTATTCGATGGAATTAATTTATGCTTGAGTTAATCTGCAACTCCAAATTCTTCATAACTTTACTACTTTTTGCATCTCAAAAGTTTCACTTTGAGGCGGGGCCCCCTTTCAATAACTTTCCTTTGGCCACACGAGCGAGTCAAGGGGTGAAGAGTGAGCAGATTGAATGAGATCCCATGTTGAAGATAATAAACCATACAAATAACTGCTGCAAACATCTTGCCATGGCTGACATCCTCTGACTTTTGCTTTGGCGATAATGTCGTCGTCTTGGCCTGGCCTGTGTTGAATGTCGACAGGCGGTGGGGGGGTTGAATCATTCAGCCTATCGACAGCAGCTCCTTCCCCACTTGCAACTCCTGCAAGCATAAGCAGCGCGCATGCATCATCATTATAATCATCATCATCATTGCCATTCCCATCCTCATCCATCGTTTGATGCTGCATGCAACTACTGCGCATGAATGAATCACGTTAAAGTTGCAGCAAAGTCGTCGCTGGAGTCAGAGTCAGCGTCAGCTTCAGCATTAGAGTCCGAGGCTAACGAGATCGCGCTGCTCAGATGCAAACTTCATCTCATGCCAAACGTCTAGCGAAAGTCGCGACAAAAAAAAACAGCAAAAAACTCTCTCAATCCTCTAGATATACCCACCGATTCCCCCCCCGCCCATGAAGTCGTCGTAGTCGTCTTTGGAGCTGTGTAGCCATAATGATGAATTAGGCTGCTGTCATGTCATGACAAAGGCGCGCTGCATGCAATTTAGATGGCCATGCCGTGCCGTGCAGTGCCTCTGCCACGGGGAGTGGTAAAGTGGTAAAAGCCAGTCAGCCAGTCGTTCATCTAACTAAATGCAATGTCTATGGTCGTTCGCTGTGAATATGCAAACGTAAGTAGGAAGTGGAGTCTTAAATGAGCCACAAATATAAGCCATAGACTGCCGTCTGTCTGCCATGTCTGCCACGTCTGACAAATCGCTTTTGTCACAGCAGCGCAAAAGGAGTGTGTCCAGTATCGACTGTGACACTTTGTGCTGCATGCAAATGAATTTCTGGTTTCTTTTCGGGTTTACTTTCTGGCTTAATCCATTGGCGTTTTGGCTAATTAATTGACGGGACTTGTTCGCTGGCAATTAGCTGAGCTTCGACCAGAGAGATGACATGTTATGGCCATGTTATTGGTTGTGTTTCCCCCGCACAAATGAAGTTATTCAGAATGTTACAGTGGCTAGAGTGGAGTAGACCAGCAGACCTCCGTAGACCTTTCAGGCGCTTGCCCCCATAGCTGCGAAGGTTAATTGCCAACAATAAGATTCAATCAAGCTAATGACGGAGCCAACAACACAGCAAAGAGAAACAGAAACCAGGCTGGCTGGCTGCCAGCCAACTCGATCCACGATCCTCTCTCTCCACACAAATGCAATTTATGAGCGGCATGAAACCGTGAAGATCGGTGGAGTGAAGCGCAGTTGCTGCCGGTTCGACCTTTCGGGGTCGCATGCATAAAATTCAGCCCCGTTCTCCACACAAAATAAACTTTCTTTCTTCTCGTTATAATTTCAAACCAAAAAGGGGAAACCAAAAAGGCAGCCATCGACGATTGTACAATAATTGTAATGAATTATAAAATTGTTCAGAAGCCACAGCAACGACTGCAAAGTGCAGCCAAAAAGTGCATCTAAATATGCGCATAAGAATCTACAGATTGGGGGGGATTCTAGTTCAGAATAATCCAAGAAAAGCGCAAGCCTGATTTAAGCCATTGGTTTAAGGGTTCTCAATGGATGTTTAGCTCTCATTATTAGGCGCGGGGAGTTCAATGTCTTGGGGGTAATTGTCTATTAATATGAGAACACGTAAAGCTTTTTGCCTTTGCCAATTTCTTGGCGAGAATTTCACAGCTGCTGCTGGGAACAAAAAAAAAAAAAAACGAAGCAAAAGAGTTTCATTTCAAATGGCATTGGCCATTGCAATTATTGGCGAATCGGAATAGGAATACTCGAGTACGAGTTTGTGTACCTTGCCACTTAGGGATCGTAGAAGCGGCAACGAGGCAAGCGA